ATTATTTCAGCAGTGTAATGAAGTAATAAACTGTCCCTACAATAAAATAACCTAATCAGTGCCTATTAATAATACAGAAATCTTCAATTTATATTATTTTATAACGTATATTTGCCTCAGTTACCCTGAACTTTCAGTTACATACCACTTTCACTTCGATGTCTATTACCAGGTAAAATAACCTGGTTAATACTTAACTGGTTAAGCTATTTGTTGAAGGGTTACCTTTGAAATGCAGTCAATAACACTAATTAGAATTATATAATGCGTGTTTTATAATCGCCATAATTTGCTTAAGTTTACTGTCAACTTTATTACAAAACGAAGCATATTACATACAGTCACTTTATTACTACATATGAAATGTATAAACCTCTAGTGTATATTATCTTACCTTAAGATAATCCCTTAAATCAATGTAATGATTTCAAAATTCACAGATTATACAATTTAGTGAATATACGTCAATAATTATTAACTATCCTTCATGAAATAATTAAAAAAAAACAGTCGATTGTATGCGAAGTAACTGAGTCACGGATGACATTAATAGAGCTAAGATAAGGTTTCTTCATAGTTTTCACAAACACACTTAACACCACAAATAACCAAATAAACGGATGAATTTAAACGCAACATTTCCACGTAACCTTAATTTATCGCCCAGTGTAATAACGGTCATGTCTACGTTCATGTAATCACAGAATTTGTCATATTATCATGTATTTTTTATTAAAGAACAAGATTAGGCTTTGACTTTTGCTCTGGTTACAATTTTTATTCACAACGTCCGACTTCATTACGCCGTGCATTCATTGCATGCTGGGATGATGTCCTAATTCATAGCAAGTTTGGTCACATCGTTGATTTATTCTCAAGTAGACCATCAATGAATAATGTTACTGGAGAAAGGATGGTTGTGTTGTAAACTATGTTTTTATGAATAAATTACTGTTGTCTTCAGTCTCAAAACAGTTATGTAGTTACACAAAAGAAACAGCGGAAAAACACAGAACGAAGAAAGCCGATTGCCATCGCTTACAAGGATATAATTCCCGCTTCATTCTACTTGGTCGCTAAGCAGACTGCCACGATTACGAAATCGAGTTGCGTTTGATGGCAGCCGAATAAACATACAGTTTTTGATGTTTTCGATTTTTGAGAAAATAATAATTCATATCCTTCCATAAAATTTTATTTACCTTATGTAATTTAATAGTTATGTTGTGGGAAAATTAGATGATATCTTCGAAATAGCGTGTTGTTTAGCATTAGACTATTCAATATTTGAATTATACATTCTCGATAATTTAAAAACTAAAATTTTCAGGTAATGACCTTGGAGATTGGAATTATCAAATATTTTTTTGGTTTATCAAGAAAAAAACTTCATTATAAAGTATAAGTGTACAATCTATTGACCGATGTTTTTTAAACGCTACAAGTTGAACCTGTTTCAGTAACGTAAACAGTGAAAATGTTTCATGCCTGTCTGTTGCGTTACGGATTTAGTTTCTAGACAGACAAGTGATTACACATCCATCGATATATTAACACCATAATTATTATTCTGGATAGTTGTTAGCAGTGAAATACAGTAATTGCGTTTTGCTTTCTTTTGGACTTATGAACTAGATGTATTGGGGGTGGTAATCTTATTTTTCACTGTAAGTTATAGATTTTATACTCAGTACTTCCAATGCAAACAGTTTACCCACTAGGCTAGTGAGTCACTTACGGCCTATCGTTCACTACGTATAATATATATTATGTTGTTATCGTGATTACTGATTACTTTGAAAAGAGTACCGCTGTAATTTACATGACCCCATTAGAGAGAATAAGCTGATACACATTTTCATTGTCCCTACCAAACTATGACGATTCTACTCACATTCAGTGATTAGTTTAAAGAAAAGTGTAACATATAGGGGAAATACACAGAATTACTACAAAAACCCATGCCAAATGTTATTCTGAATATAATTCAAACCAAACTAAGACAAAGAATATTATCCTGAAGAGAAATCACACTGAAATAAAGTCGATTTTATACTAAACAAAAATCACACTTTTGAAGTACTAAATGTTTATAGGCAATCCTGAATGTCAATGACGAGAAGGCATTGATCTCTAATATTATCAACACTTGTATGATAATTTTGTAATTTTTAACAATTTTCCTGGTGTCAATCATGAACTGATTTTAGCTAGACCAAATGTTTTAATAAGGTTGAATTGTACTGAAAATGTGACTGAAACTTATCAACATTCTTACTTTGAGCTAACATTGATATTATAATTATCAGGGGATCAGTGTAACACTGATTTTACTTTCATTTTACAATTAATTGATTGTTAAAGTACATCAGCAGATGTACATCATGCAACGCATATATGGTCATACTAAAAAAACTCGGATTTTCGAATGTCATTCAGTTACTCTATGCGGTACATCCGGGAAAATGTACCCACTATGTAAATGGTTGCAAATCATTATTCAGTTAACGCAGTTTGGAAAAGCCTTTACACCTCTGAGCTGGTAACCAGCAGTGTCAATGTTTATTTTCAGTCCATCCATGATCTTGAGCAACCCTTCATCCATTCTTGAGATGAATAATGTCTCACACCAAACACCTACTGGAGAGTTCCATACTAGGACGAAACGGTCGTCCAGTGCTTCCTAGTTTTCAATGGCGATCCAACTTAGATCGACTAATGAATTCAACTGTGAAAAAAACAACTATGAATCATAAAATCTATACTTGAAAATTTGACTAAGATAAAATGCGCATTGAGATTGTATATTAATGAACTAAGTTTAGTAGTCAATAAAATTTAATCATTAGTTGTAAATCCAACACAAAGCTACAGGTTTGTTTCATTAATTTAGTATTTTTACTGGCCATTATATGAATGAGAATTTCTTAATTGTTCTAATGCATGCATTCTCTCGATAACTTAAAACCAGTTTAACTAGGTACCAAAATAATGCACTTGGCGTTGTTTTACTTGTATCTTCCCATTATTATTTAAAACTGCAATTGATCAGTCTCATGTCGGCATATGTGCATACTGTGCTTATGCCTCAATATAGCCTTAAGTCACAAGCTTTGTAGGCAAACATGGATAGTGGTCAGCAGTGGAATCCAAGACGCGTTTTGTCCTATTTGGGACGCGTCAGCTGGATGTACCTACATATCAGTGTTGATGTCCACTCCGGGACTCGAACCCAGTACCGTTCGCTTCAAACGCCATCGCGTAATCCACTTAGCCACTAATTCCTGATAGCCACTTGCTTGTGCAATGGGGTGAAGTTTAAATTCACTTGCTGTTGTTTTTACTTGTATCTTCCCATTGTAATTTAGGATTGCAATTGATCAGCTGTCCAGTCCCAAATAGAACGAGACGCGCGTCCTGGATTCCACTGCTAGCCACTATCCATCTTTGCTTAAAAATACCAAAATGATGTTTATGTTCATAAGTAAACTAGTAAATTTAAAATCATTTTTCGCAGAAAGTAAATTTAATCGATTTATGATAATCATTCATAAGTATTATATGGATCCTGGAATGTTTCGTGTATCTTCAATTATTTAATTCACATGATAAATAAAATGTATTTGAACATTTCACTAGAAATATCCCGTTATTATACCCTTTTTGACTCTAATTATATGTATAAATCAGCTTTACTTAGTAAGTTATAAGAGTTACTATGATACTTTATTGTTAATACTGTAGAAATCATAATCACTTGGTTGTATAGATAAAAAGGCAAGGAGAATTGCAAAAATTTCAACATATTTTAAGCTTTCAATTAAATATAATTAATTGTTATTCATGTTTATTATTTATTTACTTATTTACTAATATTCTACACATGTCTATCATGAATTTCTTTTCATTTTACATTTAACTCTTCTTATGACCATTGACTATTCTGTTTATTTATTTTATTTTATTTATTCATCTCTTTGTTTGTTATTTATCTATTTATTAGAAAACCGCACATTCGTAAATACATAAACAAAAACACACATATACACATAGACATACATATAATGAATCAACATAAACACGCATTAGCAATACTTATCGAGAGAGAGAGGGGGGACAGGGGGGGAGAGATAGGGATGGAGGGAAAATCTATAGGAAAATAAGAATAATTTTTAAACAATGCGTGTAGATTAATAAACAATTCACTATTTCTCTTTATACTGTGTATTCTAGTAACTAGTAAATTCATTTAGTTATTTATTTATTCATTAAAACCACATTGTATTCTGAATGAAACAAATAATTATCAGTTGTGTATTGTTTTCATGGTTGATGTTTTTTTAATTTTAAAATAAATTTTATTCTCAATTAAGTCTTATTTGTCTAATCTAAATTCATTAATAATAATAATAATAGTTATTATTATTGTTCTCGGTAAAGGATAAATGGCATGTTGCCATGCTACACATATAAGACACATCATCATGATTATATCCATATTCTAGTTCTTTAGTGTTGTAACTGAATACATTTTCTAAATAGTAACTGAATTTTTCCCTTATGGTGAATCTATTTAGAATGCAAATGAACAAAATGTATGCTTGTCGTTCATTTGATAAAGCATTTTAATATTTCAACTTAATTTGTTGTTTGGGTTGATTTTTGACTTGACTGATTAAATGAAGGTTATTCCACTTATTTTTTATTAAACAACTTAAGACAAAACTGTTAACTACTAATTTCATTGTTTGAGACTTGATGGTTGTGTGTTCAATCCCATATCCTAGGTCCTCTTTGTTCAGAACTGAATTAACTTAAAATTCACAGAGGTAATGTGAATAAGAACTGATCATTAATGGAGGTAATTTGTTAGGGAATATATATGCTGATTAGGTAACCTGTTTAACTTGGCGAGTACTGGATGTATCTTTTTAAATCTGATCTAAATTTCTGTTTATCTTGTAGTGTTTAAGCTCAACAAACTGAATTATTCAAGCTAAATGTTAACAATTTCCTATTTCTTTACACTTTTAAGACCAAACAATTCACCTACAATAAATCATTACGATGTTAGACAAAATGACAAACTTTTATACGATGAATTTGGTTGTAAACGATTGGTTTATTACTGAAAGTATATCCATCCATGATCTCGTCCTAATTTGTTGAGTATTCTTAATAATTTTCATACTATAGAAGATCAATGGATATATATGTATTCATTCACTGGTCAGCTAATTCGTCTAACTAAATGAAATCTGTCAAAAAATAATATATCCTTAATTTATAATTAAAAGTTAATAGATTGTTCGGAATAAAGCTTTTGTCATATGAAAGTAATATCTTTTCATCATAATTAATTGATTATAAATTTTACTTTATTTAGATAGTTATCACAATAGACCCCCGTAACCGTTATTATATAAACCTCAGCGGGCAAAGAGAAACAGTGATTACAGACCAATCCATATTCAATGGAAAATGCAAATTAAAAAATTACTATCCTATTGTTGCTCTGACAGTGATTAACCTTTTACACCATTGATTCATCATTCAATAATTTACATTTCTAACTTTAATCAGTTAGTAATATAGTAAGACTATCTTTTAATTGTCATAGATGGGTAATTATTTCATACCCGAAATTGACTGAATTCCACCTATCATGACTTCATACTGGAACTGTAAGAATAACCTTCAAAGTATCTAATCATTTAATACTTTTGTTATCTATATTCTCTAAGATATACTGATTAAATAAGAAACTATTCAAGTGAAATTGACTTGGTATTCTTTGGCTTGTATCTTTCCATTGAGGTTTAAAACTGCAATTGATCAGTCCCAAATAGGACGTTCTGTATTCCACTGCTAGCCACTATCCATCACTGCTTACAAAAAATATTCAAGTGAAATGTTTAAATATATCAAAGCTATCCATTTAAGAAAAATAAACATTAATATTCAATTGTTGTTTTTTTTTTTTTAACTCTTATCACCAATAACCATACTTAGTAGATCAATTCATGGTGATCTAGCTTCAATTGACTCATGATTTCAATCAGTGAAATTTTTAAAATCTTCACAAAACCTTTCTGAAATAAAATAAACTGTTTGATATTGAATTCGTAATATAATGAATGAAAACAGATTTTCAATCGAACATAATGTCATAATAAGTAACTGTGATAACTCTAGATGATAGATTAACTTGTATAGATACACCCCTTTATTAATGTGATTTTACATCTTAAAATTAAAATTAAAAGAAAAAAAACTTTGTTTTTTAATTAAACTTTAATAATTCACACAATTGTTCTCTTTTGTTGTCCACTTGAAAATGATCATTTCACATTGTTTAATTATTTTACAAATAGTATTGATAGTATTACTTGTAATTATTTGTTCTATTAGTTCATTTACACAATAAGGCAAATAATTTCACACCTTTATACCCATATATATACTCATAATAACTTATAAGCATATATAAAGATATTCAAAGTTTATTATGTGTTGAAACACTTTTCCTAGAAGAAAGTATCATTCATGAAGAATATTAAATTTATGTTGTTTTATTGTATATAATCCCACTTAAGATTATTATGATAAGCGTTTTTTTTTCTTTCTTTATTAAAACAAAGTTATAATAATTAAAACTAAATGTCATTAATTTATACGAACATTCGTCATGATTAGAACGAATAGTTTGACAGGAATTGGGTGCCAAGTATAGAGAAGTCATTATATGTGAAAATTATATTTGAAATAATCTCAGCGATTGAAGTTTAAATAATTCCAACGTTTCGCCCAGCTAACTTGTTTGAATTTTGATTATTACCCTGAAGAAGTCAAGACATGTTAGCTGGACGAAACATTGGAATTATTTTAAATTTCAAATATAATTTTCACGTATAATAAATGTAATTAAGTTTTTTTATTCATTATTTTTGATATTAAGAGTCATTAAGTTACATTAAAAGATAATTTACTAATTTCAATAGTTGAGATCATGAGTCAATTGAAGATTACTATGGAAAACCTGGAAGCACTAGACGGTCGTTCCATCCTATTGTGGTCTAACTTCAATTGACTCATGATCTAAACTATTGAAATTACTAAAATCTCCACAAAACCCTTTCAGATAATTCGCCCTAATGAATTCTCGACTGAATTTATGAATACTGTTTGAATTATAACTAATAATTCTAAGAAATAATATTCAACAAGTTAAATGTTCAGATAAGTTGGTAGTTGAAGGCAGTCAATAGAAAACCCTGAGACCAGGGTTTCCTGCTATTCGGGACTCGTCAGCAAAGTGTATAATATTCATGGAACTGATGCTCTCTAACGGATTCGATTCCGTGTTATCCAGCTTTACAGTAAGAGATGTTACCACTAGGTTATCTGGACTGCAACTGATCTCTTGTAGGACTGAGATGTACTCACAATTGATTGATCACTGGGTGGTGATCAATTGCACAAAACTTGTTTCGACTCAAATTTGTCAATATCTTGTGATTTTTATACAATCTGAAAGGGTTGATTTCATAATAGACGTGTAATACTACTGAGACAAAAAATAAATAGACAGTGACCACTGATCAGTAATTATTGATCTTTGTTGATTGCCAATAGTTTTTCTTTTGTTTGAAATCCTGAATCAATGAATGTTAGACCAACATTGAAAATCTGAAAGCAATGGATTCATGATCTTAATAAAAAACTTAACAATCTCAATAATCACACAATGATAATTTTTCTTCTGGTCAAAATTATATTCAGTTATTAAAGGGTGGACAAGAACTTTGTTTTTAAAAAAAATTCCACCACTTCCACAATTAGTTTTAATGATGTGGAATACAAAAAGATACCATATATAATCCACACAATAAGGTCATTGTTGGCAAATAAATATTAGTGAAAGGAACAGCTGGAATATTTTTTCACCTTTGTCCTGCTGATTCTATAAAACAATTTCTATTATTCTTTTTTTTTCCATATTCAGTTCTACAATTAGGTGTTAAGCCTGAGATAATCAACAGGTGTACGCCATTCTATATGTACATATTTGTACAATATATATATATATATATATATATATATATATATATATGTATAGTTGAATATATGTGTACAAATTAGACAAAACTTTTTTTCTTCTTTTGTTACCTTATACTTTCCTACATCATTAAGATAACTTCTGTATCAACTGATTATGGTATTGTTTTTACACAATGATGCTAGGATTATTATACTTATTACAGTGGATTGATAGAGTATTAGTAGTGTAAAACTTGGGTATTAAGCTGTCCAACCATTCACTGTCCATTAGTTGGTAGTTTCAGGGTATAAGAAATGAATGTAAATAACCTTAGCAATGGCTTTGACAAACAAATATAACTTCCATTCAAAGAAAAAAATATTAAGACATAAGTAATAATTATGCTATATATAATGCTGAGTAAAAATGTTTCAAGTGAGTTTGATATTAAGGTTTTCTAATGTATTTATCGCCTTTTATTTGCAGCACCCTTATCCAACAGAAGATGAGAAAAGACATATAGCAGGCCAAACAAATTTAACATTATTGCAAGTAAATAATTGGTTTATCAATGCAAGACGACGTATTCTACAACCAATGCTAGATTCTTCGAATTTTGTACCACATGGAAATAATTGTAATAATGTAGATGGATCATCAGATAGACTGTCCAATTCCATGGGTTGTAATGAATCACATGTTATTAGTAAGAAGAAAAAAGCTGCAACAAGCAGGTATGCTGATTAATATCTTTCAGTGATATTAACGATATATATTTGGTAGGTTTCTTTATTTTAATTTCTTTCATTAATCAAAGTGATAGGGTACTCACTCACAGTAGCGGTCCGTGGATTTATTGGTCTGTTGTTGAGATGAGATAATATTCTCCGGACAAAACATGAAATTGCAAGATTCACCAAAAACAGAGATTACTAAACACAATAAATTAAGATCTGCAATGAAAGTTTAATCGAATTCGACACGGTAAAATCATTTGTAATTTAAAAGGGTTGTTTCCGTATTTTTGCTTTGTTTGATCTGCATAGTTTCTGCAACCTTGTTGACTACATGTGTCTAAATCAGCAGAGATGAGGGCTTGACAAGTATCCAATATGTCTAACACAGTGTTTCTTGTAATTTATGCACTGCAGTTTGTAGACAACACTCCGTTTACTTTTATATACTGTCCCGCTCGTTTATCTGTTTAATATGAGGAGTAGGGTGTTCCTTATTTTACGAGAACATATTTTCAAACGTTTCACTTGCGTGCCTATTATCTATGAAATAGTCTCTGTATGAGTGAACCAAGTTGTCAACCGTTTCTCCCCTTATGATTAGTTTTGAAATGGTTGTCCGAAAATTACACAGTTAACAATCATAAAATGTTTGATAAATTCAGACCAAATCATTATCTGATAGTTCTTTCTTTGAAAATCTATATATTCACATGAAAATATAACAAACAATTCATGTGGTAGTAATATTGGTCTTCATGAAAATGTCGTATTTTTTGTCATCTATCATTCTGGAAAGCACACAAACATAGTCGCGTAACTAATGCGACGTATTATTCATATTTTATCACATAGTGGTGCACAAACTCATGAATATTTTAAGAATAATAGTGCATTACTTTTTAGCATATAATTGTTCATCATCGACATAATGCATATGACAATAATAATAATAGTGATAGTGATAATAGTAATAATAATAATGATGATAGTAATAACGATAACATTCATAAATTGTTATGACTAATATGAACATTATGAAAGTAGCAATAAAATCAGATAGTTAAGTAACTAAATAGACAGATAAATAATCAACGTTTACTTACATATGACCTTGTAATCTTATTGATTTACGCTTAGTTAGTCAATTAAAACTAGAGGAGAATGAATATAATCATTGAAAGTCCAAACACTATCAGAAAATTCAAATCAGAAAGTGGAGTATACATATGTATATATATAATCGATTGCCTATGTGCATGCCAATACATAACAAGTTTTGAATAAAACGAGAAACATTTGTCTGAATTTTTAACTTCCGGGAATGAAATATGTTTAACAATATTGACATAGTATACATTGTTCAGGATGTTGGAAAGTTGAGAAAAACGTTAGGAAGGGAATTGAACAGTACAATATACATGAGTCATACTTTAATATTAGTACAGGCCTTTTCTAATCGTTGACCCATAGGTTTTGAGAAAGGATATCAGAAATGTAACGGAGCTGATAACTTAATGACCTGAAAGATTGGTTGACTTTGCAAATAGTTTTCATAAAATATAAACTACTAATGAGTAGTTCATTTGACAGATAAAATAATGTCATCCCAGTCGATCTTCACGCAAATTACAGTGCCGTCTGTTGACCATCACATTTATTTTTTTCTAAGAATCAAGTACTGAATAGCTCGAACTATCGACCCAAAACAGCTATAACAGAATTTCTCAGCACCTAGTCGAATCTCGTTGAGATTTACAAATGAATGTGTGTGGTAAGTTGTAACGAGGGATTTTAAAATTTACAAACAGCTATTTCTTGTTCAAAGTGGCTCTTTGTCATTCGCTACAGGTTGTTAGTAGTTAGTGTGCAGAACGAGTTATTAATTATCAGTATAACTCCTGTTGCATGTTATTAGGTGTTTACTTTGTTTTCTTAGATTCAATTGTATTTACAAACATGATCCAACATTAGGCAGTCTGTTAATGTTCGGAAACAAAAACGCAAAACATTAATGGTTTATGATGCTCATAGTGCAGTGAAGGTACATTCCTAACCCCATGAAACAAATGTTTTAGACTTGACTTCACGTTTTAGGGTTTTGAAGCGAATTAATAGACAAAAAACCAGTAGTCTATTTCTGTTTTTATTACGACCATCAAATAAACAAATTTATCAGGTTGATGTTATCTCAGTAAACACTCTGTTTCGAGGGAAGGCCGAATTATAATTCAGAAGTGGTCCATTATAGTTATATTTTATTTGCGTTTTCATGTTTTAGACCTTCAAACAATCGATTTTGGCCAGCCAGTTTGGTTGCTGCAGCCGCCATACATCCTGCAGCAGCTGGTTTAGTGTCTTCTGGAAGTAGTAATTTTACTGCTGCAGTCAATTCGGGCATTAATATTACAAATAGTAGTCACAGCGTCAATGCAAACCCAAATACAACACGAACTGACTGTCGGATATCAGATGGAAGACCTAATTCTTTAGAAGAAGTAATCAGTGACACGTCAATAAGTTCAACACCGAAGCAACAAGCCGAATGTGCTTACACTCCACAAACATATGACTCATCATCTGTCACACTACCTCAAAGTCCTGGACATAATCAAAATTTTGATTGCAAGCTTTCATCTGATTTGTGGAATCTAGATACACGAATGGATCTACTAAATTCACAGAAGTTTTATTTCAATCTTCAATCTGGTGTATCTTCGACAAAAGTTCGGTCAAATATAAATGACAATACTAGGGAAATGTGCAACAATAAAGTCCTTCAAAATGGAACTAATTCGTCGAGTTTATCAAATCATAACCCTTCATTTCCATCAAACCCAAGTCATTGTTTGAATCCATTCAGTTCCACCCCTACAGTGAGCACAGGTAAATCACTAGCTATTTAATAATATTCTATAAATAATCAATCAGTCTTCATAAATAAGTCAATATTGCTTTTCTATTCTTTTATTCAATTTTCCATAAACTTTATTTTCCTTTCAAATGTATTACCAATTAGAGTCTTTGTTTCTGCATAGTTCATGTCATAGAATACCCATCAGAACTAATTTTACTTTCTACCACTTTTACCTTTTATAAACATAAACGAATTTGTAACAAACATTATAGTACAATGAGATAAATCCATTTATTGCATATATTCCTGTCAACTGTTCATCAACAAAAGATAATAATATTGATTAACTCAATACAAGGAATGTGCACATACTACTTTATGTATTGATCAAGTTAGCTGACAAAGATATCTGCCTATACACTTCATTTTTCTTGGAAAAGCCTCGACCAACCAGAAAATAGTTGCTTTATGAACAGAAAATTTCGATATTTTCAAAATGTGACTGATTTTTCTGTTCTATTAGATAATGTAAACAAATCGTATCAATGGCTAGTGCATGATTAGAAATATAGAACTATTACTATTCATGGATTCATATCCTCCGTAAAAACCAATAGGAAAATGATGAAATTCCTGTTTAAAAGCAAATAAAAAGGATCAACTGAAGGGAAAAAATCCCAACAATTAAGTTGAAATATCCAGCTGTTAGTACATTATTGATATAGGTGTTTAGTTGTTTTCAAGGAGGCGCGAAGGAAAATATGGTTAATCCAAGCCATAGAATCGCATTTATCTATCATAAAAGAGTGTGGAAATGGGGAAGGAACAGAAGAAAATATGAATCAGTGAATTGGTCAGCATATACGGAATATACATGTTTGTGTAATGAGGAATAATAAACAATAACAGTTGATGGCTCACCAATGTCAGTGTAAAAAATACGCAGCTTAGAACTGAGAAAAATGTGTAAAGTTACGAATGCACTACACAATGAAGCGTTTTAGCTGAAACATAAATTTCCATCATCACTACTTCATGTCACTCTAGATTACACTGAAAAATCAAAAATTAAAGGTGGATATGTTATATTCCTCTGTGAACCGAGATGAATACTGTAAATTGTTGAAGCCGAAGAAAGACACTTAATCTGAAAGTAGTAATAAGAATAAGTGATTTTGTAAATTTCAGATGACATACATTGTAAGTGTTGGAGTAATATTCTCATTTGGATCTGTTGATATGACATTTAGCTGATAATATCATAGTAATAAACTAAACTCTAATGAAAAAGACAAAATTTAAAAACAGTATTATGAATTCATTTGTATTGGTTGTTTGAATCTTCCCTTTAATGTTAATTTCTGTAATTAATCAGTCTCCTTTAGCATATGCGCATCCTGTGTGGATTGCCTCGATATTGCTTTAGATCACAAGTATCATAAGGAGAGATGGATGGTGGCTAGCAATAGAACCCAGAACACGTGTTTCATCCTGTGCCGTGAATTATTTATATTGTTATCCATTATCAAAGTATTTATATCCGAACATCGTGTTGCGTCATTACAGTTATTACATAAATTTGTTTCTCCAGTTTAAGTTTTCTTCCAACTATGTCGTCTATTTTCATAACTCTAGTTTTGATACATTATCATCAGTTGGTAAAATATGAGACCAGCAGTTGATTTATTGACGACACTGTTCATATCCATAAATGTTTATTAGATAATGGATAGTTTAATTTCAAAGTTTTTATGGCGAGACTAATTTATGGACGACCTTTGAACGAATCTAAAGTGACCCTGAAAAACGTTGGCCAATCAGCAAACAGTCACTATAGGGTAAAAATATATTATACAAAACCGAAGAAATAAAGTGGATACACTTCTTATATGTGGTTCAAAAACTTGTCAAGGTAAGAAAGAGGTTCGGAGGTTCTAAAATCGTAGTGCATGCAGTAGAGGAAATCATCCATATGGCTACAGAATAGTCGGTCTCTGGAACCATGATAAGGTCACAAAAGCTCTTTCAGCCTCGACCACGTAGCACCAATATTGTTTTTGTGCACTGCGGTTGTTGAGTACACAAAATTCCACCTGTGAATAATGACACGATGCACATAACCAAGCCTATGTATGAGTCTGTGCGCCCTGCAATCATCCGTATATTTTGTAGTACCTGGTTGCAGCCAGTGTTACTAGTGCTTTTATAATCCAGTTCGCACTAATTGTCATAATTCGCTCTAGTTAGGAATTATATACGGGGTTTTCATCACGAACTGACATCAGCTATAATGCCAAAATTCTATTTAGCCAAATAAATGAAAAACTTTCGTGCTAAAATCCGAGATCTTTTATCTTATACCTGATTGTTTCCTCCACAAATTATAGTCTCGCCGTTTTGTTTGTTGCAGCCAACCAGTTGTCACGTTTTGCATGAAAACCCCTGTTAACCGATCGTACGTCAGCATTAGGCACTGAAGTTGGCACCGTAACTTCGAAATCTCTAAAATGCTTCTGATTGGCTCATCCATAAATTAGAGTCTCGCCGTTTTTGTTTTTATGTCACTCCCAAAGACATCAACTTAAACTACAAAACCCCATTAATAAATTTCAATGTAGATATATTCTCTCATGAATAACTTCATCTTTAAGAAAAATTTTTTGTGTGAATTATTTCATTTCCTCATTTTTAGATTTAACACAAATAATACCAGGAAAATATGATTCAGTACATGAAAATTTATCGATAAAACAATCAGAAGAAACAATTATTAAACGTTTAACTCCATTATTAATGTCATCAATATCATCGTCGTCATCATCATCAACATGTTCTACCTCAAAAGATATTGATCAATGTGTAGATGGTGTTCAACAAAAGCAAAATAATAATAACAGAAATGGGATAATAGATAAGAATTATGTCATTAATAAATCAATCAATAATAAAACATCAGTAGATAATCATTTATTCAGAAATGAAATAAATCATAATAATAATGATTTAATTAATGTAAAATCTGAACGTAATTTCCACGAATTTAATCCTGTTCTACAAAATTTACCAATAGAATCTAATAATGGTAAAATGAATTTATTAGCCAATAGATTATTAGAGTCTGATTTGATCAACAGTAATAATAATAATAATAGTACTAGTAGTAGTAATGGTAATAATGATAATACTAACAATACTGTGAATAATGATAGAGATCATTTAAACACATTAAATAATAATGATTCTTATGGAATACAATCACAAAATGATGCAACAGTTCCTATGATGATGATGAATTCATCATCAACTTATCCGCCGAATTATTCATCAATGCTATTATCACATGCACAAAATTATTCGAATTATTTATCTAATAATATAAGCAATTCAAATAATTTATTATCATTTGATGTACATCCGAACAATCTGAGGTATAGTCATACTAACAAAGATAATAACAATAATAATGATAGTAATAATAATAGTTTGAATCAGTTAAATTATACATCTCATTCATATCCTAATATTATTACCAATCCAACTGGAAGATCAAATTGCGGATTTAATCGTTCAATGGATTTTTCTACATCAGATGTTAATGATACTCCTGTTACATCATTTTCAACGATTCCATTACATCATCAACAACAACATGATAGTTTATCGCCATCTATACAACAGAAAACAGAATTACCATGTTACCTAACTGATCAATGGTCAAATATTACCCCTATATCAACTAATCAATTTACACATAATTTAAATACTATAAATCAGTATACTACATTTCCTTCAAGTTGGACAAATAAATTAAAAAACTTTAATTCTTCTATATTACAAATAGATAATGGAAATATTGATTCATTGTCTGGTTCATCAGATGAAGATATTCAACATCATCGACATTCTCATCGGCATTTGGCATCAGAAAATGAACAGTTTATGCATTGTTTACGAGGTTCTGCTTTATTAAATCGTAATGATGAAACAAATACTGATCAGTCATCAATTTTACATAGTGCTAATCATCAATTAATTTATAATCTTCCCAATGATATGAACAATCTTAATTATACACCTACAGAGTTAGGCATACAAGAGTCATTGAATTCTAAATCAATTTATCCAGTCCAATATGATCAACATCATCAGCATCATCATCACCATTCACAATATGAAACTACAATCCCAACTGGTAATATCGGTGATAAATGCACAGAAAATGATGATGACGGTTGTGATAATAATAATAATAGTAACGACAACAATAAAAACAGTTTATCATTTTTTAAATCACCATCAACAGGTTCATTGACGAAATCTACTTCTATATTTCAATATCATAATTCATAAACAGTCATTTACTCTTCATGTTTTACTCCTCAAGTTTTTATTTTATTTTCTCTTTCTTTACTTCCCTTCCCTCTTCGTGTTTGTACATAAGTAAAAATTTGATATTTCATGAGGCAGAAATCATTAAATATATATACATAAATATGAACAAATATGTAACTTTTATTAAGAATGATAATCCATTGAATAAAAACAGTTACTATGACCACTACTTACCGCTCTTTTTCTTTCAAATGAAAACGTCTCTTTCATTATTCTTATTCTTTTATTGTGTTTTATAAACAAATCAAATGGTTCTTTTGAAAAAGAAACAAAACAAAACAAACCTAAACACTAATTGATTGTTGATAGACAAATATGTTTGGTTCCAGTTAGATTGTATGATCATTAGTATAAATTACAGAGTATAAACATAAATTGAAATGATTTGATAACTGCCATAAATTATGTAAAATCTTTTTTTACGATAATATCATTATTATGTAATGTGTTTCCATAAATATATTTTTCTTTGGTGTATTCGATAACAACTGACTATAGAAACAGTAAAATGTAATGATATGAAACAATTTAATGAGGAATTATGTCACAAAAGAACAATGAAACATTCAGTGACATATTGTATAATACACAATAATGATTATAATTGAATTGAATGATACATATGGAAAATAAGAATGAAGTTTCATTATTTGTTTGTTTGGTTTAAGGATTTTTGTTTGAGAACGTTTTTAGTTTTTATCTGTCTATTTGTTTTTTTGTTTGTTTGTTTGTTTGTCTTATTTTTTTCTTCCTATCACAACTAACTTACTTCAAACGGAGAACAGGGTACTTACTATTAATATTAGTAACCATCAAAGTTGTTGTCATTATTATTATTATTAATATGAATATTGATAAAGTTGGAAAAAATAGAGAACAGAATGGCTAGTGAATTTTATTATTATTATTATTAATACTATTATTAATTCGTTATTTTCATTATTATCAGTTTGAAATAAATTCATTCATTAACAAAATTGACTTAATTGTCTACATATTTATTTTGCTACTAGATACAAATATAAGTAGTTCAAATCAATTTAGGAAAATTTGTTAAGTCAGACTAAAATATACGTTGACTTTGATTAACTATGGTAGCCTCTTTAGACAGAAAGAATATACAAATGAGTGTACATCTGGTAGATGATAATCAAATGGATAAGAAAAAGAATTTTGGAGAAGAGATATAGTGGATCATTCACTAAAAGTACATAATAGTTTATCAATTGCTTGAAATTGTTGTCGACAAATTGTGCATAGATGAATAACAAGGTTTACTACTTGAAAACAAGGATATCTTCTATAATTCCATTTCTCTATACTATGCATATCACTTGGATTTAAACGTGACGGATATCAATATTTCTTGTAACTCAATGTCAGTTTTAGAACAAATGAAGAAATGCTAACTACTGAAGTAGTTAAATGAGTAACAAGCTAAAAAGCATGCAACCTTATAAAGAAACTTTCTCACAGTTTGTATATAGTAGTTCTTTCAATTTGTTCCAAATTTTTGTTTTATTCAGTAAATGCTGAATAGCACCTATGTATATAAATAACTTACGAGTTTTCTAAGTCATACAGCTATTAGATAAAATAACACTCATTATTAAATAAAATCTTAAAGTGCACATGTTGTCTAATATTTCATACAAATTACAGTTTCATAATAAGGTACCACTGTTATTGTTATGGCTTAATATGTTAATGTCATAGTTATATTGATTGAAACCTCATTTCTTTCCAGAAATATAAGATTATATGATCACGAAAAAGGGAGAACGTGTTCATAATGTCTAATAAAATAAATTATCTTCATATTTTTCCTAAACGTTCCATTTTGAATGAGGTTAAGCTTCATAAAAGTTGCTCTCCGTCTGTGTATGGATATGTTAGGCAACGGGCGAAAATTAGTAGGAATTCCTGGATCAAGACTTCTTACTAGCTACCAGTAAATATCTAAAATGACCTAGTAAGATTAAAAAACACATGATATCAACAGGAACAAATTAAATCAATTATTTCGTGAAAAAATGCAACGGAACTCTTAGTATCACTATCTAGCGTGTATTCATATTATTAAAGAATATATTTGTGTAAGATAAAATTATCCATAGTCCAGTCCATGAAAAATTCTCATCCCAGCACCATCTGAATACTCATAAATAATCCACAGAATGATACCACATCAGTCTAACTGATGTAGCCTATCATAAATTTAAATAACCGTAACATTAGTAATTATTTGTTCTAACCCAGATATTTGCGTACAATTTGTCATTTCTTTCACTTTATTGTGGTTTCTATAGTAGCTGTTCACTTAAAGCTATGTGTGATTAACGTTTCTCAGCAAGTCAGACTTCTCGATTTAGTCGGAACATCGAGTCTATTGAACTGACGAACCAGTGTTTTTAGTCTACACAAGTTCTAAATGTATATAAATGACTATTTTAAAATTTATAAAAAAAATTATGGATTTTGCCGTCAAAACTCAATCCCTTCTACAATTAAAGTAACTTCAAAAACTAACAATTGAAAATTTCCTTTCACTACACTCGCTATTGTAGTGAGCGAGAATACAAGTGGGAACAATCGAATATATTTAAGCGCAAAATTACAGAACATCTTACTAAAATCTGAGAACCATGCAGTAAACACTTCCATTTGCAAAATGTCAATCAATTGTCTAAGAACTTGACTTTTCCTTTTGTAAATACCAGTCAATCGTCTTAGACTTCATGTTCTTTTGTTTCCACACCAATCATTCTTTGTTCTCGTTCCTTTTGCTTTGATCTTCTTAACCTTCTCTCGCCAGACATTTCACTTTTGATTGATGATACATACTACTTATATCTGTCAACATCAGTGGCACACACCACAATATGTTCAGGAAACGCTTCGTTCAATAAATATTATGCTGTTCTAAATTATATCATAGAAGCCTGTTCTCTTTTGCTTGTCAGAACTACTTTTTAATATGACTGATAATTCACCTCATCAATTTAATGGTTTACTTCAAACGTTTAATTAAATTCTACTAACATCTGATTATTGATTTTCTGATTTTAAATAGCTCTGTTATGCAGAAATTTAAGATAATATTTTAATGCATATTCATAGTTGTTCAGTAATTTGACCAACCAACTTAACATGTTTTCACTGAAGAAAATCAACGACAAACTTTGTGAACACCAATTAGATTCAAGCGATTGTGACATTATATCAATTAAAAATGAGTTAGGTAGTAAGATATCTCCCAAGCGTAATGTAGCTGATTCAAATTGGTATCGTGAATCGCGAAAGAACGCAAAAAATCCTTTAATTAGCCAGTATATACCACTGAGTATGAATTCGAATAATGCAGTTTCAAATGAAAATAGTGATAAGAACACTAACCTATTTACTTGTAAAGAGGAGATAAAATATGCTGAAAAGTTGAAAGTAGTAACTACAATGAATCAAAAAGAAGTAAGCTCTGAAATAGTTAACAATAGGGAGGCAAGAGCACAACCTACAGAAGAAGAAACCTGGCGTGGAGCAAGACGAATGAACGATGCATTTCAAAATCGATCAAATACTTGTCAAAATCGAACTCATGAAAAGGGATATAAAGGAAGTGGAAAAGATAAACAAGATTATTCCCTCAAAAATAAATATTCTGAGTCAATAAAACTAGATGAACAACAAATAAAAGCAGCTTTATATGAATTGCAAAGACCATCATGCCTACTAATCCCACTGTATTATTTATGTCAGTTATGTTGGAATTTTTGTCGTAGATATCCTATTCGAATTACATTATGCCACAAACAGAAATGGAGACCATTACAGAACATAGAAAAGATATGTGTAAAAAATACTTTAGGTTTGATTTTTGGATTAAGCCTAGGATTCATAACATATTTCTTATTTATGATCACGTTTTCAGGAAATCCACATTTATCCACATTATTAAGCGCTTACATCATGTTGATAAGTGTATATGGTTTAGCATTCTCTGGAAATTTTCAATGTATCACATTATTAACATTTCCATATATAATTGCTACACGTTTACGTTGGGCAATTTTAATCTATGCAACTGGTATGTCATTCAATGGACCTGGTTTAAATTTTCTACATAATTCAGGTAATTTTCGCAATTCCATTGTTTGTATCATAGCACAAGTGAATACAAATATGATGGTATTGAAAAGTTAACTCAATCACCATTCATTGTATTGAAAGATCAATTAGAAAATATGATTGATGGTATTAACAATATTCTAAATACCTTAAGAAACTTATTATTTAAAATTAATTTCTCCATTATACAATTAACTAATGTAATGGAAAGTCAAGCTAGTTGGATACATTCATTAATTATAGCATGTGAAGATAAAATATCTTTAATGAATCAATGTTTAGCTTTTTTTAATAATATTTACTTTAGTTGTGTGAATAGTTTTAAAATTTTAAGTAGTCTATGTCGTTTTATCAGATTTTTTGCTAAAGATACTTGTGTTTCATCAGAAAAATTTACAGATTTATGCCGAAAACAAAGTGCCGTACTTGAAGAGACACTGAATATTACAACAACAACAGAATTAACTAAACAACTTCATGAAATAATCCATTTGATTGGAAGTAAAAATTTAACACTTTATGGTAATTTAAGTAATATAGAAGTTATTTTCAATGATGATCATTATATATCAAATAAACTTCAACAAAGAATGGATCATTTTGTACAAGCTATTGATGTTGCGAAATTGATTTTATCTTGGATTTTAGTAGTATGGACATTATTCACCATGCTGATATTAGTTATACAAGCAATTATATTTAAAAAGTGTTGGCTATCAAAGGATTCATATGATAATGTATATATAACTGATGAATTTATTAAACAAGTGAGTTGTAAATATAATTGAATAATAAGTATCTTACAAATACATCACTATATATTATGCAACTTATTAGTTACACCAATTTACCATCATGTACTTATATAGCTTTTGTTGTGTCTTTATGGCCAGCTAGTTATCATGTAATTACTCGCCAATCAAAATACGAATTATTTGCTCTTATACTGTACTGAACTAATGACGTCCGACCAGTCTGATCAGCTTAGCGTCCTATTGGTCCGTAGCTCGTCTAACTCATCCAGCTGAGTCCAGAATGCCAACAACAGCCTCCACTATGCGAATAATTTATTCCAGATATATTAGGTTTATATACCAAACAAACAGACCGCAACAACCATAAAATACGAAATAACATTCATACACAATAAAGCCAAAAAGTGATTGTGAACATGGGAGACGGTAATCAAATAAATGAGTATAATTTAAAAGCAGTAAATTGTATAATAATAATCTGTAAGTCAAAATGAAGCTTATAATAAGGGGAATATAGATACATATAATCTAGCTACTGAACAGTTATACAATAAGAATATATAGATAATATTAGTCCATTAATAGGTCTCAGAAGTTACTCGTACTTTAATCTTCACTAGGATATGACAGTTTTCCAGCTTATTTTTCACTTAGGTTTCTTTATTTGACAAGATATATGTATGTATTATTTTATAGGAATGAAGCGGTTGAAAATAAAGCTGATAAAGATGAATATTCTTGACACAATGTAAAGTTAGAATATTAAAATTTATAGAAAACTGTAGATTAACTTTATAAATTTGATTGAATGACAAGGTTTTTTAAATTATGTGATAATGATAAATCTAACAATGTTTCTAAATACAAATTCAACGACCTGATACTTCACAATCGATATATGATGAACAATTGACACAGAAAAGTTTTATTGATGACATTGATCATTTTCTTCTATCCTGATCGTATTTGAAGTAAATGTAGAATATCCACACATATTGAGATGGTGGAGAAGATTTGCAGCTCAGGTGGATGATTTTGGTGGAGTTTTGTTCTCTGAGCTGGATAGTTTGATCGTAGAGCTTTCATCGTTCTTCTGAACGACATCATCAACACAAACTTCAGATAGACTTCTATCTACCGAAATCCCCACATATTAGATTGATCATGGTTATACAGTATTATCTGGATATAAGAAATAAACACTTTAGTAAAGATAATTTGCTAGTAATTCATATCGATCGCATCATTTAAAGATTTGTTAACTAGCAAAGTTGTACTAGAATATGTTCTTGGTGAAATAATTAGATATCATCACGTAATTACTAATTTGCCAACATTTTTTCGTAATGCATATAAGGACTAAAATAGTAGTGACAAAAATAAGTCTGTGATGTTCACAAGTAAGTGATACGTGTTGATCCTGTGCTGTATAGATCCAACCTTATTTACAAACTAACCGAAAAACAGCAATGATACTATTATTTATTATTTTACTGAAAAAGTAAATCTCTGAAACCTCGAATAGAATGTAAATGGAATGTAAATATGGTTTGATATACTTTGAATATTGGTACTTTATATCATATATTGCACACAGTTAACGAAGACTCCACATCATTTATTTTATTACCTATGTAGAAAATTATTGACTAATATATTTTATTATAGATTAGAGGTTGAGGTTATGGACTGGTTAGTATTAACTGACTGATTTTTGAGAGAATACACATTCTAAGCTTTGAAGAACAATATTAGTTATTTTATTTATTGTCTTACTGAAAATTGTTCTTAAAATTTCAAATATTTACAGACATCATCAATCAATTCTTTTGTTTCGTTTACCAATTTTTTATGTTTAAGGAAATACAAGCCTTCAAACGAGGTTTGGTCCCCACAGTTCCATTAATCCGTAAAGAAAAGAAATTATACAAGAAGTTATCAAGTTTCAGCTGGACTATATCAGAAAAACAATCTGCAGTTTTTAATTCTTTAATGCTTTTAACATGGAGTACTTCAATTATTCTAGTTATGATAACTGATTATGTAATGTATACAATTTTTAATATTATGTCAGTTTTATTTTTATATGATTATTCTGATTTTGGAAATATTACAGGAAAAGATGATGAACAAATAAATGAAGATGAAACAAATGAATTATATATTGATGGTGATTCAACATTTGCAAATATTGTACAATCATTGATTAGTTTAATGAATCCATTGAAAAATATTGAATTAAACATAGATGTAACACTTTGTCGACCAACATTAACTCCACCAGATTTATATAGATATGCTTTTATTTGCTTATTACTAAGTTTAGCATATTTGAGTGTTGTTTTTCAAGTGAGTAAATTGTGTAAGTTTAATTTAAAAGATAATTAGTATTTGGATGCAATTCATTGTTCAGTATTATAAGATAAAACAATCATAGACCTGTTGTTTATTGATTTGTTATAGTTTATGATTCATTTTTAATTTATTATTTATTTATTTATTTTAACACAAAGATATTGATACAAGGAGGCACCAAATACATATGCGCCACACAAGTCTCATTCGATCTGTGTGAGGGCTGTGATACTGCCCGGGTGCCCAAACCGAAGCAGGTGGTTATCTTACGGAGCCACACCCCGAGCCTTCGACCTGAAGATCTGATCCACAAGGCAGTAGAGCATCGTGAGAAGATGCGGTCCCATGGAAGCCGGTGACCAACAATTGGCTCATACGCCATTTGTTCCCGCAGGATACTGGAGCCCATGTGCACCATTGGTTTGGAATCCGGTTAAAGCGCCGGACATTCGCTTTTCGTCCTCTCATTTTCGTAAACAACACCCCAGCCACGAGAAGGCAGTGAGTAGGACTTCCCTGGCAGAGGCTATATACGCGTGGCCATGTGAGAGCATTTGGAGGGGAGAGCAGACTCTCCCCACTCTTGGCCGTACCAGGGCATTTGGGGGCAGATAGAGACGAGTGTTGTTAGATGTGGAAACTCTCCCGCGCCGAGAGTCGAACCCGGGCCGCTTGGGTGAGAGCCAGGAACATAACCGCTAGACCACGCGGGGCAATTAATTAATTAGATTCATATTACCAATCATTCTTAGTAAATCAAATTTTCAAACTGATTGGTTAATATTGTTACCAATTAAAATTCCATATCATTGAATAATAACTAGTCATTTGTCAAGATCCTTGTGAAAATCTACTTAGTTTGCAATTCTAATATCTTCATAGAGAGTGTAACATATTCTGAATGTCAGAATGCAAGCTTTTCAGTTACTAAAGTAAAATAGGAAAATCTTGTACTGGAAGAGCAGATTTTTATTGATCAGTTGAAAAGATAAACGAATAAGGGTTTGAGAAAAATAATGTAAATTTATTTTGTTTAGTCAAGTTCATACTGATTTTCATCAAATTCAATATTTGAATATCCAATTTCAGTGAATAGGCAATAAACCTTAACCCATTTAAAGGAAGTTAATATCAAGTTTAAAGCAGTGTGGTGTATGGATAACAATTCACACTCATTTGATGAGTGTAAAATAGATAGAAACACTTATTGTTAATTCCACTGCTAGTCTGGAGCTATTATTGGCTAATGATATGAGAGGACATGATAAGCCTAAGAATTACAAACGTGATGAACTAAGTCATCATGATAAGTACAGGTAACTGGTATTCTCATATAAAGATGTAAACTTAATCTTATGTAAATTGGTAAATGCAAATAAAAAAAACTAGAAGGATACATTATTTTCAAGAATTTACAGAAGTACGTTTAGGTTTGATCCAAACATATCTTTGCTTTTACTTGAACACAATATTAGTTAAGTTAATTTTGTACCATCATAAGTTCATTTAACACAGAGTTAGGTTTTTTGTACTACTTAAATCCGGTTCTATTATGAGAAGGCATTAAAACACGGAACTATAGCCATCTAATGAAAATACTATTTGCATATAAAGAAAATCATTGATAACCCAATGTTACTGAATTGTATTATAACAAAGAATAAAAAAATACTTATTGAAGATCTATAAAATAAAAGTCCTCTTTCTACTGATAACTTTTTTTAGTATATTTCAAAAATATTTTTTCCTAGAAACAAAAGCACTAGAAAACATGTAGAATACATTGATAGATCGTCATCAAATTTTTTCATTGAAGTTTGAAATGATTTATTTTTTACTTAATTGTGTACTAATTGTCATCATATTCAGCTTATAACTTAATATGATGGCAGGCAATCGAATTAATCAGTCACTAACTCATTTTAACATATTGTGATCAACATCTGAAACATGTTGTTAGTGCACAGTATCTGAAACACCAGGGACATCTGTTTAAACACTAATCTTCAAAGCTCTAATATATAAGTGAATTATAAATAATACTAGTTAAAATAAGATGGTGGTTGGTGGTAGTCAACAGGAAACTCTGGACCTTGGTTTCGTTCTGCTTGACACTCGTCAGCAAGGTGTACCTGTAAAGTTGTAGGGACTGATGCTCCCTGACTGATTCGATCCCATATCACCCAGTCGGAGACGTTACCATTGAGCTATCTGGGTCGCAACTACCTCCAACGATCATCTTATCTCAACATAGTGTACGTAATGTCATGTCACCTACACTAGTAGTCATATTGCAACTTGGTCGATAGGATCCGATCTGAACTAAGAAGGGCCTGACATACATGACACTGATCATCACCCAGTGATCAATCAATTGTAAATTAGTAGTTAAATTTTAATTTAAATTATTTTCACAAACGTTTATGAATAACACAGTGGTGAGTTTATTGTAAGGGGAGGGGCACTGTAACTGAAGATATTCCTTTAAAATCCATAGTTCACATTAGCTTAATTAGAATGATTTATATTTTATAGTTACACTATTAAGTAACAATATTAGACCTGTTCAAACCAGTATTTTTCAGTAGAATAAGTGACTTTAAATTTTAATGAAGTTACATTCTGTATGTTGTGTTACGATTCTGCTGTGGAATATCAGATGTTCGTTTGTTAGTGATTTGTAGCTTATTTCTATGTGAAGTTTGTATTCATAAAATCGTTTAGATAAACAATTAAATTCTGAATTTTCATTTTATAATAGACATTTCTTCAGGAGTCTTCATAAATAGGGTATTTTGTCAACATAAGTCTAGAGTTGAATATGTTACAACGATCGACAAAACATCAATTTATTTATTAATCGTTCTGTGGATCCTGTTTTATTTACTATACTTCGCTTCTTTACTTGATTTCCTGCTTTATTGTGATTCATTTCTTAAGACATGATTGATTTTTGAAATCATGCGAAGAAAAAGAGACTATGTGCCCTCCCTCAAAGTATATAAGGAACCATGAGGTTAGGTTTCGTTCTAGCTGATACTGATCAGAAAGTCTTACTTTCACTTTGAAGAGAACTACTGTGTTTTTAGATTCGGAAGCAGGAGTACCTTGAATCACAATCTGGGAAGTCACTCTTGAACTATTTACGGTCTAGCCTGAATATATGTCAATAAATTAACATTAAAACACAGTATACGTGATGTTAACTCACTTGTACTAGTAACTACATTCTTGCTTAAGTTAGGCAAAGTGGAACAAATAAAAATTAAGAATCAACATGTTCTGATGTGTAAAGGTTTTAACTGGATTATACAAATACTCTAGCAGGTGCTTGTAAAATTGAGAAATCTTAGAGATGTCCAAGTCAAGTCATGGTGTTGACATACAAAGTCAAGAGTAAATAAAACGTAGCATCGGATTACTAGTTTCTCAGTTTTATACCCCTGGTAATAACTTATTTTGTCATAAAGTAGGCAGAGAGAACCGGTGTACTTTAGTAGGGAGTTCTGTTCCGCAAGATATCATTTGTTATTAAAGAGTGAACTCCATGTTCTCAGATTTGTTACTGTCCTTGGTAATGGCATTTACGATATAATTAAGGCAGCATTTGTGCACAATATAATCTTTCATCACAGATTTTTACCTTAATTAAACTGTTATTATTATTTTCTTAGGTGTATGTTATGCGTTTACGACATGTCATCATGATATGGTACTATCCGAAGACAGCAGCTAGACGTGCAGCCTGGCTTCGTATACATATCAGAAATAACCGTGGCTTATATAATCGTATTATACACAAAATTAAAACAATAGATATCGCTTCAAATCACCGATCACAAAATTTGTCACGATTTGGAAGATATTTATGCCGTAATCCACGTGTAGCATATTTTCTTAAGTTATTCGGAGTTCAACGCATTATTTGTACATTTTGTGGTAGTGATGGGAATCCATCTAAAAAAGTTGAATTTAAACAGAATTTCACACGTTGTGAAGAATGTGATGCTTATTTTTGTCGTGCATGTCAAATAGCCTTGAATCATATATGTTTATTATGTCGTACACCAATGTTTTCTATGGCTGTTGAAGTAGATTTTGAACATTATTCAACAGATGAAGAAAAAGAGTATATCAATGCACGCTATTTACAAATAAATAAGCATAGTTCAATAATATCTTCTGATAAACTTACAGAAAAAGACATGTGATGTTTTTACAAATGGTCCAAATATTCAAAATTTCAATACTCGAAAAATCATTTATTTCAACAATATGACAACAATCTGTTACAATATGTATGTTAAATATTAAAAAAAAACCCAGTAAACACGTTAATAAAATGTTTTCTATTATCAAACAAAGCTAGTCTGTCTTGTAAGAATATTAAAAATTTGATTCATCTCTGAGATACTGTCATGATTCCAGTAAGTGAGTTGTCTTTAAACTATATATGCTTCATCTCGAAAGTTATATCTAAGTTATTATAACAACTGAGTTTCAATCAATACATTGTAGGCCCAAACCTATCTCATTTACTACTGATGAATTTCAAACTCTAAGAATACTTCATCGACTTAAACACAAGAGCATATATATTTTCTTTTCCCTAACAGTATCGTATTGTAACTAAAACAGATGATCTATGAACAACAGAGTAGTTTGGTTAATCAACCGAAGTAGAATAAATGTACATGTGAAAAAGAAAAATATAACTAGACGGCTATGCTTTGTAAATAATTTCTATTACAGTGGCTAGCAAAAGTTATTAAAGAGCAAAAACCATGTAGTAAACCTACTTTTATGACTATATATATATCATAAATACTACAAAACCATATTATCTTTTAAGTAAAAAATAAACAAAATAATAATTATTTTAACCGATTAACAACTTATAAATGCTTCTAAGCAGAGATGAATAGTGGCTAGCAGTGGAATCAAGGACGCGCGATACATCCTATCTGGGACTTGTCGATTGAATACTCGGCGCTTTAACCAAGTCGGTGGATATGCAGGATCTACCTAGGGGAGTTGGAAAACCCTGGTTTCAAACCAATGGTGCACATGGGCTCTAGGATCCAGAAGGAACAAATGGCATACGACCTAATTATTGGAACCGGCTACCATGGGACTGCATTTCCTGACATCGCTGCACTGCCTTGTGAATCAGACCTTTAAGTCGAAGGCTCCGGTTGTGGCCCCCTAAGAAAACTACCTGCTTTGGTCTGGGCACCTGAGTCTTATCACAGCCTACACACAAACCAAGTGACTTGTGTGGTGTGTATGTATTCGGTGCCCCTACGTATCTTCATACAGTGACAGCATCCGAGCTGACATATACTCCGAGACTTGAACCTAATGCCTTTCGCGTCAAACGCCATCACGTTATCCACTTAGCCACAGAGTCCGGATAGCTATTGACCTATGCAATTTGCTAAATCTTAATTTTCATCCCTATATATTGGTTGTTTTGATCTCCCCAATGATGTTTAGGACTGTAATTGATCCGTCCTAAACATCAATACGATGACCCAAACATCCAATATATATGGATGAAACTTAGTAAATGCCTCATTTATATTTTGTAGAAAAAGATTACTAAGATCATTGCTAACATTGACATGGTACATCATATTGAGTATTGAAGAACAAGCGTTGTCATAAACACTCATATTAGTGATATTAGCCCACATTCACATATGTCTACACATAAATATTAATAACTAGATGACATCTGTAAGTTGTAATGTATCCAAAATAAGTCAACTCAGATGACCACCATCAAAGAGGGTTTGTTTACTATGTGTACGTGAACCAAGAAAGTCTAAATTAATCCTTATCACTTGTTGACCAATACTTTCATGCAGTATGTTCATTGCTTAATAAACGTCTATGATAAAATGACATTGTAATCAATGAACAGTTTTTCTCTTGTGTTAGTAAAATCCAAAATATGTGGAGAATGACTTCATGAATTAATTAAAAAATCCCTTCATTGAAACTAGATTCTTTGATAAGTAAACTTTGAAGTACTTGAATTTTTGAAGTGTATCAATTAATTGTTTTCATAAACATCTAATCAACAGATTAATTTAATCATATGGGAAGATATATTTTTTAACAGTCTAGCAATATTCAGAAAAAATATATTATCAGAGTATGATTTATTTGCTCAGTATTAATGGAGATTAAAAGACCAATTAAAGTGTCTGTATTGTAAGTGGAAGTTGAGCAATGGTAAGAATTGAACGAAGTAGTAAATACAGACAACTGGAAACCGAATGAGTTGTCCAACGATATTATGTGCTATTCGAGCCAAATGTGTTCTGCGTTCAATTTCGTACTGGACTGTGGGTGTATGATGTTATCAAAAGAAACGGCTTTTCAGGGATCTTTTGTGTTCAGAATGTCTCCGCTGATTGATTAAATATTTGCAGTGAATAAACTCAACAAATCTTCTGACTAACTAAATACTTTTTCTTAGACAACATTAATTTATCTATTCACCCATAGTCTTTTATTATCTGATAATGACAAATCATTTGAACAATTAATGACTTTAGAGTAATAAGAAAGATTCTGTTAAATCCTATGACTTCATAATACACATTATATGCCCCATAGGACCCTATATAAAGTACATTGATTTTTCAGTGAAATGTGTGGTCGTAACATCAATCACTATTTGTCATGTCCCACATCATTTACTAAAACTATGTATATTATAAACGACAGACGTTGACAGAATATTTTGATTTCATTGGGTTGTTCATTAATTATTAGTGATGGTCAGTTCTATTAAGTCTAAGTGACTAATAAGTTTACGGAGCACACTAAACGGTTTTACTTACTTACGCCTGTTACTCCTCGTGAAGGAGCATAGGCCGCTCATCAGCATTCACCATCCTACCCCGTCCTGGGTAATCCTTTCCAGTTCCTATTCATCCTATTCATATCATATTTTATTTCCCAACGTAATGTGTTATTTGGCCTTTACTCTTTTCCGCTTCCCTTCAGGATTCCAAATTAGGGCTTGCCTCGTGATGCAGCTAGATGATTTGCGTAATGTATATCATATCCATTTCAATCGTCTTTCCCTAATTTTCTCCTCAGCTGGAAGCTGGTTTGTTCTCTCCCACAGAACGCTGGTGCTGATGGTATCCGGTCAATAGATGTTGAGTATCTTGAGTAGACAGCTATTTATAAACACTTGTACCTTCTTGAAGATGATTGTAGTAGTTCTCCAAGTTTCAGCTCCATATAGCAGAACTAACTGTTTTAACGTTCGTATTGAAGAACCGCACTTCGATATTGATTGACTGTTGTTTTGAGTTCTATATGTTCTTCAATTGTAGAAGTGCGGTCCTTGCTTTGCCAGCCAATTCTCATATTTACGTATGCATCTGAACCTCCTTGTTCATCGATGATGCTTCTCAGGTATGTGAACGATTCTACATCTTCCAGAGTTTCGACATCAAGAGTGATTGGATTGCTGTTCTCTGTGTTGTATTTGAGGACCTTGGTTTTCCCCTTTTGTATGTTGAGGCCTACCGATGCAGAGACTGCTGCTACATGTGTTGTCTTTATCTGCATTTGTTCGTGTGTATGAGATAGGAGGGCTAGGTCATCTGCGAAGTCCAAATCGTCTAATTGATTTGAGCTGTTCATTGTATTCCGTGATTTCCCTCAGATGTCGAGTACTTCATAATCTAGTTGACCACAGAAGAAAAAGGAAGGGAAAAAGTAGACAGCCTTGTCTGACTCCGGTCGTTACTCGGAATGCATCTGTCAGCTGTTTTGACTAACAACAAATGTTGTGTTGCAGAAAAATAAAATATACTATGTATCTGATTTATTAAGGTTAATCAGGGTTGCTACATAGGTTTCAGAGTGTAAATGAACTCGAAATTACGCAAAAAACGCATCTAGCATTGATAGACTGGATGAGTACAAATATGACATATGTTACAAACATTGAAGAGATCGCACGACTGAATGCCACTGGTAGGTAAGTTGCTCAACCTAGTCTTGCTCTTCATGAAAATTAATTATTCATGTTGCCAAGATCTCTACTCACATATCTTTATCTGGATTGTTAAAATATTTATAAACGTATAACGTTTGTACAGTTTTCGGGACCAAACCTTTCTAACAACTATCACTCTTTCCAATTCCATATTAGTTAGATTAAAGATCTAAAGCAGTATGTGTATATTGTAACCAATTTAGACTCAAAAATTATAATAAGAATTTTCTGTTCATTCTTGAAATTTATTTTTACTTTAATTATATGCTTTTTAACGTTGATGTACAATAATACAAAGTTTTCTTATTTCAAATGATAACATTTTCATAAATTTCAACTTTTGAAATTGAAACCATCTTTGGTTTTCTTTTTCAACTTAACATTTCAAACATACTATTGTATTATATAAATAAATAAATAAGAAAGATTAGTTCAGTGAAGAGTTCTCTATTTTCTGCGAATTCATTTTCAAAGCTGTACAATCGCAAAATATATATATACTTATTTTTACAGGACGATAATAATACTGATAATAAACTTCTGTTAGGCATGGTGACAGTGAGGTTAAATAAAAAAACCTTTTTAATACCTTTGTTTATTTAACCTCACTGTCATTATGTCTAAAAAAGTTTATTATCAGTATCATCATTATTATTATTATCCTGTTAAGTAACTATATATATTTGCGATTGTACAGCTTTGAAAATGAACTCACCGAAAAACGAGAACTCTTCACTGAACTAATTTTTCTTATTTAATTTCTTAATGGATGTATTCCGTTTACTAAAAAAATATAAATAACTCTTCAGTTTATAGATTACAATACTTCATTCTTCTTATTATTATTGCTATTACTATATAACAGCCTGATCATGTGACCCAATATTGATTGAATCGATAATCGATTTTCAATAAGATATACATTCATTAATTTTTTAAAATGTTATTTATGTATTTTACTTAATACATTCATAACTAACAAATAATTAGATTCAATGAATTATGACTACTTTAAAATCATATTTGACAAATAAAGAACAAATTGAATGTGATAGGATAATTTTACAACCTGATAAAACATGTAAACCAGAATATAAATATAATAATACATATTCTAATAATAATAATAATAATAATAATAATAATAATAATGCAATCATTAAAGTTATAAATGAACAACAAGACAATACACGTCAATTGATCAATCTTCCTGTATCATCTTCAACACCAATGGAATTAACTACGATAGAAAATAATAATTATATTAATCAACGGAAATATAATAAATATAAACAATTAAATAATTTACAAAAATTATTTATTTTTTGTATACCATTTCATTACTTCATTGATTTATATTTCAATATTTATAATAAATTTTGTATTTTATTAAAATATAAAAAATGGAATTATTATTATTATTATTTATTAATTAAATTCAATAATAATAATAATTTATTAAAAATCTTTTATCATTGTTTATATCAATTAATAATGACTATATTAATAATTATTATTGATTATTTATTGATTAATATATTAGATTATAATTTATATATATCGATACTGTTCAGTATTTATATGATAATATTTTTCATATTGAATTTTTCATTCAATGTTCAATGTATTACATTATTGATATTATCTTATTCAATTACATATTATATAAGATGGTTATTATTAATGTTTGCTACTTATATAATTATTTTCGAATTCATTTTAAATATTTTAAATCATTTTGAAATAATAAAATGTTTATTTCATTGTTTTACTTATTTCAATGTAATTAATTTAAACAAATTAAATCATTTATTATTGAATATAGTAAAGATTTCAATTGAACATTTAATAAATGAATATAATTCTATGTTATATAATATACGTCAAATATTATTGAATATTCATTTATTTACATTAAAATTAATTCAAATCATAAATAATAATAGTAATATATGGATTGAATCTATACATAATTCATGTAAAAATACTGATGAGGTTTATAATTTATGTCGAAATTTTTTTAATAAAGCATATTTGTTATGTATGAATGAATTAAATATCATGAATAATTCATGTGATTACATAATATTTTATAAAAATAATCTATGTAATTCAATACAAATATCTACTAATGAATGTGATAATTATAATCATTTAAATATTACATTGAAAAAGGATTTAAATGATAAAATGGAAAAGATAATTCAATACTATTGGACAAGATAATATAACAACAATAATGATGAATTTTAATGAATTTCAACAAATGATTCATAAAATGTATAATGAAATTACTGATTTCAAACAAATTAGTAGTTTTATGAATGATATTGAAGTCATGAAATTATCTATTTTATGGTTTTTATTTTTATGGTCATTGGTTACTATGACACAATTATTAATTAAAGCAATTGTATTTAGAAATTTATGGTTGAGTAAAATAACATTTGAGAATAGTTATATAACTTCAGAATATATTCAGCAGGTAATTTGATATTTTATAATTAAAACAAAAAAAAGCATCAGATTGATTTTAATTACTAATCATTTTATCATTGATTTACTCATGAAAATATTTATAAATGTGATTATGATTGGTATCTATGCCACAGTGTTGAAGATTGTTCAGTAAGATGTTTGTTATCATTAGATTGGTTGTATTAAGGCTTCAGTTTTAGCATGTAGTATTAATTAATCTGGTAAAAGTTAGAACAGAACAAATATTGTAGAGGTTGAAACCGGTTTCTCGAATTATTATTCATTATAATTTCGTTGTATAATCACTTTGTGTTAACGGGACATAGATTGGATTAAAGCATGCTCAATACACGATTGCGCTGGTGCACTTTGATCGGTGAATTCTTAAACAATCAGTGCTAGTCGATACTCGGAGAACACTATAGAATCTTCTCATGTAAAAACTATAAATATACTAACGTTTTTCCCATTATTCTTCTTATTTCCATCTAACCTTGTTATTTGGAATATAATTTCTTTCCTATTCAACCGTGTTCTGATTTAGGAACTTACCGAGTGAATTGGTATCTAAAATTACTAAGCAATAAGAACAGCGGGGCTGTAATTAGAGAGAATTATAACATTTTGTAATTAGAATACTATATATATGTATATATATATTCTTAGGCACTTTCTGCTTGTTCATGAAACATTGTTATATTTCATGCTGTCTAGTATGTCTGTATAGAAACCATTTCTGTTTAAAATATAAATATCATAAAGGCTGGTTGCTACTTCTGAACTCAAGGCTAGATATAGAGAGGAGCCAGCGAATAGTGAACCTGTAAGATCGTAGTCATTGACACAAAGTAAATTATCCAGATCGGGTTTGTAATTGGCCAAGTCAGAAACATTAAGCCATAAAGTAAATAACAGACCAAATGAAAATTAGGGTTCTGATTGGTGACTAGGCACGTGGTAATGATCAGCGGGTTTCAAGATGAAGTAGTGAGAGAAAAATCAAGAGTGAACAGACGACAACCTGATTCTAATATGTGTAGAAGTAGTTATTAATTATGTCCTTTTGTAGTAATACAGATACAATTTTTTGTAGGTGCCCAGATGTTAAAAATAAGTGATGATGGACTTCAGATGACATAGCATAAAATAGATTACAGTGGTTCGGATGTGTCACATCTTTCATCTTTTTAGTCTAAATTTATTTAATCCTAGTTAGTTCATATTCATCGTCTTAATACCTTTCGTTATTTTGTGGTATTTTGAAGTTTGGTTAGTCAAATGAATTCGTTTTTTCAGAGATATACTTACTTTGTGTGTACTCTGCGTTCCCCTAAGCAGATTGAGAGATTTGATTTTTGTAGTAAGTGCTTACTCAGTCTTTACACTGCTTGAATCATTTTCACATTGATATTATTGTTCCCCAATAACTATGTAGTAAATATTTCAAATTCTAGCATCCATATGTAAAAACTGATACACACAAGTGGTGATTAACTTAATAACAAGAAAGTGTGATTACCAATTAATATAACAAAGATGTATGTATGTAATATGATGTATGTAATACAGATAAATTTGTTAAGAGTTCATGGATATTAGAGAAATAATCTAACCTTGCCACTGTTCACTGATACGATTCTGTTTTGCAGGCACTTTTGTCGCTCACCATCAGTGATGAATCTTCGAATGTTAGAAGTAATTCTTCAGTCATACCACATTTTATGCTTCGATAATATTCTTATTTACTGCTATTTTAAAATAGATTCCAGACGAATAGAGACACTTTATTGGATGTACCGGAAACTACTAAAGAGTTTTAGACATTAAAGAAAATATATTTACTCAATAAGTTGTAAGACTTTATGCAAATCTACTTTATACTTAACGTATGGGTACAACTATAGATAGTGCAAGATATTCAGTCAGGCTTTAGAATTGCTAAATATTAGAAAATTTATTCTTTCCGAATAAAATGTGTCACATAGAGATTATAGCTGACTGAAGGAAATCAACCACATTAACCCAAACATTCACTTTTATATATGAAAAAGTAGTAAACACTAGTCAAGTTTTCATATATGTATATGTATTTGTGCTATTTTACGAATATAGATTAAGACTATTTATCCATAAAATGACATACGTTTTTTTTTGAATATTCAGGAGAAACAAGCAATTCAACAAGGAATTCCTTCAACGTTTCCACTTACACATAATGAATCGAAACATTATAAATTATTAACTAGTTTCAGTTGGAGTCACAATGAAAAGAATAAAATGAGATGTTCAAACACATTGTTTAATGTATGGATAGTTTTAATTATTATAATCATATTACTTATTCATATTATACACAATTCTTTACTTTCTTTGACCTCTTTAATTTCAAATGATTTAATTCAGCCTAGAACAAGATATTCTCAAAAAAGGGATGATAATTTAAATCTCAGTTCTGGAATATTCAATAAAATTCCATCTCAATCAGTTATTGTTAGTGGTACATTTTATGCAAATATTGTAAGAAATATACTCGATTTACTAATTCATTCAAAAGATACATTAATTAATAATGATGTTACAGTCTATCATCCAATATTAAGTCCACAGGATTTCAATAATCATATAATCGTTATAACATTATTAGTTCTAACAATTATAAGCCAATTAATTGAAGTAAGTATGATTCACATTAAAATATGTAAATGTTTGTGTAATGACTTAACTTATCGTAATAATTCAATTGTAAGATTTCTCAATGAAAATATGGTCTGTGAACCAATGGAGCTAATCCATATCAGGTGGAGACAGGTATCTAGATCAGTACAATGGAAGATGGTCACGCAATTTTGTGGATTCGTTGAGGTTAGATATTGACAACGTTGGATGCCGGCCAACTCAGTGGTCTAGAGGTTAAGCGTGAGACCGAAGGTTCTAGGTTTGGACCCTGTGAGCAGGATCGTGGATGTACACCGCTAAGGAGTCCCACAATAGGACGAAACGGCTATGCAGTGCTTCCAGATTTTCAATGGTGGTCTAACATCAATCGGTTTATGATCTTAATCAAAAACTTAATAAGCTCTACAACCCAATACTGATAATAATACTCCATACATGATTTTTTGCAATTTCGCTTCATTATATCAGTTTTGACAAATATATTGAACAACTGATCTTTTGTAGAGTAGATAAAGTTCAGTGTAAGTGAATTTCATTTTAGGAGTATTACTGCTCATACTCCTCGACAAAAGGGCAACAGGCGTAAGTAAGACAATAATCAGGTTTCGAAAACTTAAATCATTGAGAATTGAACAGAATTTTCGGATTGTAGATAGCCCGCGCAAGTAAGAAATATAAATAAAAAGAAAACATTTAATTATCCTTTTTTTATTATAAGTCTTATGCAAGACTATGCATAGCTAAAACTTGGAGAAATTACTTTTTAGAATAAATTAGCCGGACAGCTCTATTCTTATTTGATTGATAATTCCAATATAGCTTTAAACAGGTCATATATAATTTACATTTCAATCATATTTACAAAGTTTAAGGTCTAAATGATAACTGATAAATAAGTTCACCATTCAGCTATTACCTTAACGAATTATCACTACATACTACTAAACAAATGACAACAATAAATAGTTTTTGATATTAGTGGATAGATTGGAAACAAATACTGGATTGTAATTTTTTAAACGAATTTATTTAATTGTATATATAACAGATTTTCGAAATAAATGTCTTTTAAATAGCTCAACTTGTCATGTATGATGAGTAGACCTAAAAGACATAATTATTCACTATTGTGGAACTTAAAAGAACGAGACAGAGTTCCTCGTCATGAAATTCATATACCCAGCAGACTGAATTTTTAGTAGGCCGATTGGCTATAATGTTCAGCCATTATTATTATATTGACTATAATCATACTGTAATTATGTAATTTATATACATTACTTTTATGTACCAGGTATATATTATGAGATTGCGTCATATAATTATGATTTGGTACTATCCAGAAAGATCAAATCAGCGGGCTTCATGGTTACGCGCTCATATACGAAATAATCGTAAACTTTTTAATGACTTCAAATATACATCGGGAGACACTACTGATAAACATGGTCGTTGTTTTACAGATAATCCAAAAACAAAGCATGTTTTAGCAGGATTTAGTATCAAACGTATTACATGTTTTTTGTGCAGTAAAGGATGTTATCCATCAAGAAAACAAAAACCGATAGAGAATGCTTCTCAATATTCTGAAAATGTACATGCATGTGGTATATGTCAGCTGGATCTTGGAAATATCTGCATAAAATGTCGTACATTATTATCTTTGAAATATTCACAAATTGGCTTAGAAGAACATTTAAACAATGAAGAGTATATAACTATGAATTCAGTGTATTCACTAAGAGATGATCAGTATTGACGTTAACTTGTTAATGAATCTACAGTGGTAAAAACTGTAAATTATTAATTTTGATGAATATCAGTTATGGATTATTTTACTATACGCTTATTTCAGTAAAGTTTCATGATAGAAACTAAATTACATTAGTAATGAAATTCAAAATATTCTTTTTCTGTTATTATCTAAAGGGCTTTATAGATGCTGATTTCATTAAAAGATGGTTTAAACGGACAAATAAGAAACTAATGAAGATACTGTATTCAATAATATAAATAGCAATATAACTAATTCCATATGCATATTTAAATCGGTGCATTAACTTTATGACTAATCCAGAAACTACTTTAAGAAAACAAAACATAAAAACACCATTCAATTTGATGTTTGTGGGGATTTATTTATTACAAAAACGGTTCTAATGATGGACTAAGATCATTTGGAGTTAATTCCCACAAGCACAATTTATACAGGATTAAAAATATGCGTTGTTGAGAAGCTATAAATTAGGGCAAAACAAATCCTCAGTGGTTTTCAATAATTTTCTAGATGATATAGGTCCACGATAGGGACTGGCTATTAGATTGTTGATGATTCTGCGTCCAAAAGTTTGTTATGAAAATTATTTAATATGATCAAGAAAGCATATTAACAGGGATAGCCATGTATTGGTTGGAAGTAGAGAAGTATCTGAATGTTTAGTTTTTCAGTAGTAACCAACATCAAACTAGCATCACTAGATCAACTGGATTACGTAATGTATGCTTCTTTTTAACCAGACTTTAGGAGTAGAGATTCGTCGAATTTTTCAGACAGCTTATTATTTAATGGGTCATGATCTCCATTTCATTATCACGGTTTATTTATACTTGTAAAAATACTAGCCATCAATTTTTCCTCTGAATCTTCTGAAGTCAACGATGACTGTCATTAAAAAAACTTATTTATGAAACCGACCTTTTGTTCTTCAAAAAAACTGAGGTATGAATAGGTGTTTTATAATTGATTCTCCCCATGAATTAAAAAGAAGCATAGATGGCTACAACTCGACCTTTGTATTTCAAAATTTCTGTGGTTAATCTTTAACTCTCTTGATAATTTTTCATTTAAATATTATTACGTCTTATTGAGTTCATCTCAAAATATTTACCATCTTCCCGTAGTTTTCATAAATTCTTACCTGAATGCATAATGAAATTATCTTCAATATTCCTAAACCGTTATCACTCATAAAAACTACTTCATTTGAATTACACTTTCATGTTCTAAACAATTAATTCATTCATCCATTATCTGAGGTGGATAACTGTCTTAGTCAACATGTATTGGACTCCACTGTTCACAGCTTCTCAACAGAACTCCAGGAAATCCATCTCAAAGCTATTCACTAGTGAGTACATGATTATCATCAGTATGTGTTTGAGTCAGTAGCTAAGTAGACAATGCGGTGGCGTTTGAAGAGAACGGTACTGGGTTCGAGTTCCAGAGTGAACGTCAACTGCGAGATGCAGGTACATTCACTTGAAGAGTCTCAAGTAAGACGAAACGCGGTCCTGGATTCCACTGTTAGCCACTATCCATCTTTGTTTATAAAGCTTGTGATTTAAGGCAATGTCGAGGCAATCCGCAAAGGATGTATATATGCCAACAAGAGAATGATCAATTGCAGTAATAAACATCAAAGGGAAGATACAAGCAAACGACACCAAATGTTTCGTCTGGGTCTTGTCAGCCGCTTACAGCCTGTGCTAATGAAAAATCGTTATTACAAATGGTTCAATACAGCCTTCTTACGAGATACTAACAAACTCAACGAATTCAAGATAGCTCATAAAACAGGTTCCAAGCATTACAAGATCTACTCAAAGAAGAAGGAACTGGAGATGGACCAGAGAAGCGCTAACTTCAACGTGTCACGAGGTAATGGGTCATAAGAAGCATCATCATGAGGAACGGTCTCTGTCGAAACCCTGGTCAAGATTCAAGAAAGGAAGAACAAGAAGACAGCAATGAACAACAGTCGGACATGAACAGATAAAGTCAAGGCCCAAGCTGAATACACAGAAGTAAACAAGCAAGTAATGAAGAGCATTAGGGCCGACAAGTGGAAAAGTGTGGACGAGCTAGCAACGACAGCAGAAAAAACTGCAGTAGAAGGAAACATGAGACAAATGTGTGACACGAAGAAGAAACTAGCAGGGAAATATGGTGAACCAGAGCAACCAGTCAAGGACAAATAAGGCAAAGCAGTCACTGAGATTCAAGAACAGACAAACATGTTAGTAGAACACTTTGAAGAATTATTGAATGGATCGACCCCATTGAACCCACCAGACACCGAGCCAGTATACACAAACACCCATGTTACTGTCACTCCACCAACGATCGAAGAAATACAGATGGCTATTAGTCAAATCAAGAGTGGGAAAGCAGCAGCATCAGATAACATACCAACTGAAGCACTGAAGTCACACACAGAAGTAACTCCAAAGATGCCCGACATCCTATTCAGAAAGATTCAAAAGTGATCAACTGCCGATAAACTGGAAGGGAGGATACCTCGTTAAGATAATAAAGAAAGGTCTTGGCAAGTATGAGAACTACAGAGGCATCACACTACTATCAGTGCCAGGAAAAGTTTTCAACAGTGTTATCAAGCTGGATGAAAGATTCAGTAGACGCCAAACTTCGAGATAAACAGATTAGATTCCGTAATGATCTGTCGTGCACAGACCAAATCGCGACACTACGTATAATCTTTGAACAATCAGTTGAATGGAATTCGTCACTACACATCAACTTCACTGACTATGAGAAAGCATTGGACAGCATGGATAGGAGAATCTTGTGGAGTCTACTTCAACACTCTGGTACATCTGAGCAGATCGTCATTATCATCCGGAATTCATACGACGGACTACACTGCAATGTCGTGCATGGAGAACAGCTGATAGATGCACTCCAAGTGTGTACCAAAGTCAGACAAGGCTGATTACTTTCACTCTTCCTCTTTCTTCTGGTGGTTGATTGGATTATGAAGACCTCCAAATCTGAGGAAAGTACGGAATACAACGGACAATTTGGATGCAACTTCACAAATGATCAAGTCCTTCTATCCCATACACACCAACAAATTCAAGTCATGACAACCAGTGTAGTAGCGGCCATTACAGCAGTGGGCCTCAACATACACTTGGGTGAAAGCAAGATCCTAAAATATAACACATGGAACACCAACTTAATCACACTTGATGAAGATCTAGATGCTGTTGTAAATTTGAAATGTACCTGGCAAGCAAGGTCTACATTCTCACTACTGAAGAACATGAAACTCAAAACAACTGTTTGTCAACTGACATCAAATTTAGAATCTTCAATACGAACGTCAATACAGTTCTATCGTACGAAGCTGGAACTTCGAAAAATGCCACAACCGTCATCAAAACAGAACAAGCATTTATGAACAATCGTCTATGTAAGATGCTGAATTTCCGTTGACCGGAGACCATCAGCAACAGCCTACTATGGGAGAGAACAAACCAGCTTTCAGATAAAGAGGAAATTAAGAAAAGACGCTGAAAGTGGATAAGACATTGCTGACTTACTTACGCCTGTTACTCCTCGTGAAGGAGCATAGGCCGCTCATCAGCATTCGCCATCCAACCCTGTCCTGGGCAATCCTTTCCAACCCTTTCCAGTTGTTATTCATGCTTTTTATATCTGATTCTATTTCCCGACGTAATGTGTTCTTTGGCCTTCCTCTTTTCCGCTTCCATTCAGGATTTTAAGTTGGGGCTTGCCTTGTGATGTAGCTTGATGATTTGAGTAATATATGCCCTATCCATTTCTATCGTCTTTCCTTAATTTCCTCTTCAGCTGGAAGCTGGTTTGTTCTCTCACACATAAGGCTGTTGCTGATAGGACATACATTGTGAAAATCATCAAACTGCATCACGAGGCAAGTACTAATTTGGAATCCTGAATGTAAACGGAAAAAGGAAGACCAAAGTACACACTGCGTCGACAATTCGAAGCAGACATCAGAATGATGAATAGCAACTGAAAACAACTAGAAAGGATTGTGCAGGACAGAATTGAACACATCATGTTAGTGGGAGGTCTATGCTCCAATAGGAGTAACAGAAGTTAATAAAGTAAGAAATATGTTTGGGACTTGAGTAAGTAGTGAACACACTTATTCGCACAAAATTCTTTGATTGTAAAATATTTAATGGACTGTTCTCAATTAAAATCAACAAATGATTCCACTCTATACAATGGTCCAAACTGTATGTCGTTATTTAAAAGATGAAGTTTATTGAACAATAAATATTTGAAAATTGACTATCAAAACTTAGTAGTTTACAAAGAGTAAAAACTTATGAGACACAATATGACAAATGGGGCTAAGCGATGAAACTAAAAATATTTTCTTTTAGCAAAACACTAGAACAATAATAGCACTCTGTGCTTAACTCATCAAAACAAACTAGAATCATTTGAAAAACTCTTTATTATAATAAATAACAACTGAATTGTAGTACATTTGATCTTTTATAAAAATGTATACAAAATCATTCTAATCTTTCCCATTGATTCAGTATTTATGTATCTGTAAGATAAAATTAACATAAAATTTAATACAAACAACTAATTAGCAAATATGAAATCTTAGCACTAACTTATGAGCTATTACATTTTAGAATTTAACAGTTTAAACTGTGACAACCATGCATATATTCAACAATTAGTAATTAGTGACTGGATAAGAATGGTATCAACTTCAGGTGATTATTACTTACTTACGCCGGTTACCCCTTGTAGAGGATCATAGGCCACTCACCAGCACCGGACGGAGTTCAGGTAATTATTAACTAGTCAAAACTAGATTTTGGTAGTATATTATTATATTTATCAATTTTAAAAGCAAGTAGTGTATTTGTCATATAGGTGGCAAACTTTCATTTTACTGTTTATTTCATCCATTGACTGAGTAAATTCAGGACTATTTAGAACATTAA